TCGGGAGTAATTATTGAAAAGGACAGGGGACAGGGCACCTGCCACAATTCCTGTCCCCTGTCCTTTTCACGTGACCGCTAATTTTAACACCTTCTTCTGTAACAACTAACTCTTCTCCTCTGGGCATCTTCTTGGCTAATTGTAATAATTGATTTCGGAGTGTTTGAGTGAGATAAGCAGGTGTTTGGCTCATTTTTAAATTTTATAAATTTAATTTTTAAGTAAATAGATTTGGTAAATTTTCGCAATGTGGTATTTATAATGTTTGATTGTTGGTGTTGATTGTTGTACTGGATGGATATTGATTCCTTAAATATTGTATTTTAACTGAATTGTGACCAGAAATTTTCACATCTTTATCTATAAATGAATTTGAACACAATACTCCATTTAGCAGTTCTTTTAATTTTAATGTTCTATTTCCAAGTGCTGAATATAAACATATATGCAGGGCCCAAAATTCAACATTAAACTTTTCTCATTGTTTCCAATAAAACTGTTCCTTAGGATTAATCATCAAATCTCAAAATTTGAAAATTGACCTATCAGCAGCTGCTTTTATTAAAAGCCAAACCCAAAGGTATGGAATATGTATGTAAAATTCATATTGAGTAATGCCAACTGGTTCAAGCATTAATATTCCATGAGACTTCAAATCTTCATATGTGATTTGTTGTCCATTTACCAAAAGACCATCTTCTCTTTTAACACTTTTTCCTAAAATGGCATTTGCAAGAATTGGAGTCATTTGATCTGAATAAATGTCAAAACAGTTGATGATGATGATTTGCTGAATGAAGAAGTAATAATTTCTATGTTGAATTTTAATTTTTAATGGAGAAAATCAGGATGAAGAAGAGATCAATGAGACACCTATTTCAAGTCAAGATGCTTTATTGGCTATTGAAAAAGTAAACTTGTTTGTTGAACAACAGTTTAAGGAATTTCCAAATGAGGAATTGAAGCTGTTAAAAAATGTCAAAAAGAAAATTAAAAAAATAGAATTCAATTCAACAAAACAATAAATTAGACTGTTTTTTGTAATAGTAGTAATAAAAAATAAAAAAATTTTTTTATTCCACATGACTTAATGTAGTACAATTGTCTATACCGAATTCTCTCTATAATTTCCTGGACTGTATCTAAATTTAACTTCGTTTAAAAAGAACAAAAAAATAAAATTTTTAATTAAAATGAACACACAAATAAATAATGCTGAAGGAACATCTGGACCTACTAGTAAAGGCGGAAGTAAAAAAAGGAAGGAAATTAAAAACTCTTACAGCCATTAAAAAAAAGGAATTATGTGAATATAAACGTGATAATCCATACAAGTCACATGAAACAATCGCTGAATTATTTGAAATAAGTAAATCAACTGTGGGTGATATTTTGAGAAACGGCTTGCAGTTGCAGAAAATTCAACAGATGCCAATAAAAAACGTGATCGTGGAGGTGGATGGCCACAGTTAGAGGAAGCATTGTTGATTTGGGTGAATCTTGCCAATGAAGCTAACTGTACAATAACTGGTGTGATCTTGAGTCAAAAGGCAGCGCAATTTGCTCAAAGACTTAATATTTCCGATTTCAAATCATCACATGTAAGTATCAATTTCTTTTTGTTTTAAATTGTGTATTAATTCATTAAATATCTATTATTGATTTTAAATAGGGGTGGATTGTAAATTTTAAAAAAAGAAACAATATTAAAGAACATTATAAATTAGGAGAAGCAGCAAGTGCACCAATTAATGAATTACCTGCACTTAGAACTGAACTACAATCTATAATTGCACAATATGAATTGGCAGATGTATATAATGCAGATGAAACTGGTCTTTATTGGAAATTAGAACCTAATACATCTCTTGCCAGTGGACCTATTACTGAGTTAAAGAAACCAAAAGATAGAATCACTATAATGTTTTAGGTAATGTATATCAACTTGAATCAAATCAAAGCAAATCATGGTTCATTGAGTTAATTTATTTATATATTAAGTAATACATATTGATACAAATCAAACCAAAGCACAATTTGTAATCAATCAAATGAACTAAATCAAAATTAGGTGATTCAATTTGAATTGGTTGATTTGTTTGAAAACTTAAAATTACATAAATCAACCTGTTGAGAATCTTAAAAAAAATATAAAATTTAATATTAATATAATATAATATTAATAATGATGATAATAAAATTAATCGATTAATAGTTACCTTTATTATTACCAATAATTGTTACTTTATTGGAATTGACAGGTTGAGGAAGATCTGTAAATTTTAATAATCTGCTAGTATAAATAGCATTTGGATGAATTGTTGCAGTAATTGTTGAAGGATCAAATAAAATTTCATCCATTTTATCAAATACTTTTCTAATTGATAATGTAAATTTCCAACCATTAATAATATTAAATATTTCATTAGCAGTTGGGCGTTTATCTGAATTAGCATCCATGCATTTGTATGCCAATTCAATATAGAATTTTGGTGTATTGTTTGAGAATCCAGGTCTCAAACCTTCACATACATTCATTGCAAGACCTACATTATGTGCCAAGTCACTGAATGGTTGTTGGCCAGTTGATACTACAGACATCAGAACCCCAAAACTATATATATCTGATTCCATTGTATATAGATTCTCTCTTAAAGCTTCTGGTGCAACATATGGCAGTACTCCAAATATGTCATTTTTATTTGATGCTGATGTTTGACTAGCTATATATGATAATCCCAAATCTGCAATAAATAAATTGGTAGAATGTTGAAGAATATTACCACTATGAAGGTCATGGTGAATGATTTTTTGTTCATGAATATCTTTTAAACCTTTAATAATTTGATGAAGGATATCAATTTTGGCTCTCCATTTTAAATTTTTAAAATCTTTAGTTAAATAATTTAGAAGGTTTCCATCTTTTATATATCTCATTACAAATATATATTCTTTTGTAGTTGGATCTTGTGCTGATCCATAAATTTTAATTATATCTTCTTTATCATGAAATTTGATATAATTTTTGAACTAAAAAAGAAAAAATATTAATTTTGACAATAATAATGAATAGTATTTAAAAATCAGAAAAAAAAATATAATTTTACCTCATTAAGTAATTCATCAGAAATATTTTGTGAATTATGTAATTTTTTTAATGCCACAATTACATCTCCACTAGTTCTAATTCTTTCATTATTGCCATATATATACTTATTACCATTTATCCAAGTAGCTTTGTATATAGTTGAAAAACCACCTTCACCTATCTTTTCAATATTTGTTAAATCATTATGAGGAATCCATTGAAGATAATAATAATTATCATATCTTGTTGCTTTAAGTTGTGTACTTTTAATCAACTCATCTAGTGTTTCATTACCACTAGTCCATCCTTTGGTTAATAGATTTGGATCACATGATTGACACCATGCCCAATGAGTATTATATCTATTGCAAGTCTGACATTTCCCAAACTTTTGTTCTCTTTTATATGAATAATTTTGAATACTTCTATCTTTTTTGTAATCCATTACAAGCATATAGTCTTTTGTAGTTGGATCTTGTGTTGATCCATAAATTTTGATTGTATTGTTATCATGAGGCTTAACATAATTTTCAAACTAAAAAAGAAAAAAAATAATTAATTTGAGAATAATATTTAAAATCTGAAAATGAAATAATTTACCTCATTAAGGAATTCATCAGAAATACTTTGTGAATTTTGAAATTTTTTTAATGCCACAGTTTTATCTTCACTGATTCTTTTATTATTCTCACATATATGTTTCCAACCCTTTAACCAAGTAGCTTTGTATACAGTTGCAAATTCACCTTCAATTATCTTTTCAATATTTGTTAAATTGTTATAAGGAACCCATTGAAAATATGATTCATTATCATACTTAGTTGCTCTAAGTTGTGTACTTTTAATCAACTCATCTAGTATTTCATTACCACTAGTCCATCCTTTGGTTAATAGATTTGGATCACATGATTGACACCATGCCCAATGAGTATTATATCTATTGCAAGTCTGACATTTCCCAAATTTTTGTTCTCTTTTATATGAATATTCATCATAATCTTGAAGACTTCTATCTTCTTTGTAATCCATTGCAATCATATAGTGTTTCGTAATTGGATCTTGTGTTAATCCAAAAATATAAATTTTTTGATGATGCTTGACATGTAACTTGAACTAAAAAAAATATATTAAATATCAGAATAATATCTAAATCTGAAAATAAATAGAAAAAAATTAATTCACCTCATTAAGAAATTTATAATGATAAGAAATATTTTGTAATTTTTTTAGTGCCACAATCCTATTCCAATTAAGTTTATTATCAATAAATGCATTCTTGTAACCATTTATCCAAGTAGCTTTGTACACAGTTGAAAAACCACCATCACCTAACTCTTCAATATTTGTCAAATCATTATAAGGAATCCATTGAAGATAATAACAACTATTATACCTTGTTGCATTAAGTTGTGTACTTTTAATCAACTCATCTAGTGTTTCGTTACCACTAGTCCATCCTTTGGTTAATAGATATGGATCACATGATTGACACCATGCCCAATTAGTATTATATCTATTGCAAGTCAAGCATTTTCCAAATTTTTGTTCTCTTTTATATAAATATTCATCATAATCTTGAAGACTTCTATCTTCTTTGTAATCCATTGCAATCATATAGTATTTCATAAATGGATCTTGTGTTAATCCAAAAATATAAATTTTTTGGTGATGTTTGACATGTAACTTGATGTAATTTTTGAACTAAAAAAATATATTGAATTCAGAATAATATCTAAATCTGAAAATAAATAAATAGGAAAAAATTAATTTACCTCATTAAGAAATTCATGAGAAATATTTTGTAATTTTTTTAATGCCACAATCCTATCCCTATTAAGCCTTTTATCAACATATCCATACTTATAACCATTTATCCAAGTAGCTTTGTATATAGTTGAAAAACCACCTTCACCTATATTTTCAATATTTGTTAAATCATTATGAGGAATCCATTGAAGATAATAAGAATTATCATATCTTGTTGCTTCAAGTTGTGTACTTTTAATCAACTCATCTATCATTTTATTACCACTAGTCCATCCTTTGGTTAATAGATTTGGATCACATGATTGACACCATCCACAATGAGTATTATATTCATTGCAAGTTGGACATTTTCCAAAATATTTATTTCTTTTCGTTGAATGTTCAACATCATTGATTTTTTTAATAAAAGCAATATCTTGATATTTATCGTAATTTAAATCGCCATCCATTTTAAAAACCTTGTATTTGTATGATAAACCCTTTGTAGATCATTGACCAATTAGGTGTTACGAGTATTTAAATGAAATTCTTCAAGAGGAAAATAGTGTTCAATTAATTCAGCTTTAGCAGCAGCAGATGGTAATGTAGGTATTGAGATGACAACTGATGAATAAATAATCCAATGAAAAAAAATTTACAAGCTTACAAAAAAATTTATTAAAAAATTTTACAAAAAGGTTACGGAAATATGTTACAGAAAACACAACTTCCAGTATACTTTTCACAGAATATTTACAGAAAAGACATGATAAATTCACAAAAAATTATATACGACTCTACAGAAAAGATATTGTTATTGTTACAAGAATGGTATAGTAAGTTTACAGAAAATTATATATTTTTTTTAACTCTTGCCAGTGGAAGAATCAAACCCACATTAAATGTTTTATTTTTAAATTCATGATTTTAATTGGTCAATTGCGTGGGTTAAAATTTTGTGTTATTGTATAATAATAACGAACAATTATTTCATGTAGAAGGTTGAGTTCCGTGCGCTGAAATCGCCTAGAGGAATTTCTCTACGAAAAAATAACAAAAAAAAAAAATTGGACGGCTGTCCTATTTATATGTTTCGAATTTAATAAAATAGACTATTGTCTTGACCCGAGTGATGTTATTTTTTTGCAGAAGACGCAAAACCCAACTTAATTGAATTTTTATTCTTGTGTAGAACGGTATGCGTGTTTTGTAACACGAAAAGCAAGAGGCTCACATTGCGTTCTCAGTTATAAGCTTGTTATTAACACATTTTCTATAGGAGTCCAAGCCAAACCAAACAACAACACTCACGTTTTGTCACCTTGGACTCTGTCAAAAAATAAATTGTTTTTCCAAAAAAAAAAAAAAAAACCAATTTGCGTCTGTCCTACCAAAAAAAAAACCAATAGGATAAATAATTAGCGTGTACATGTCGATCAAATAACAAACTTTTTCAAAGAATTTTAAAAGATGCCTAAAGAATCTAGAAAAAGAACCAAACAAACCTCAACCAAAGATACATATGAGTAAGTGTTTTAAGGATGGTGGTGGTGGTTATCGCCTGCCACTCGTCATTACTCTAGTTTATCTTTTAAAAGATTGAATTGAGTAATGAAGAAGAGGAACCGCAGTTGTTTTCAGGTATATATATAATTTATTTTTTAGGTTTGTTTTTGATCTGAGCTCTGATAATAATTTTGGTAAATATCATAATCTTGATTTCAAAGATAACGATTATAGCAATTCTCCTGGACCTGTTAAAGAAAATATTGAATCAGACGATTCCGAATTATCATTAGGTATATATATAATTTTATTTTTTAGATTTGTTTTGATCTGAGCTGCTCTGATAGTAATTTTAATAATTTTGGTAAAGATCAAAATCTCGAAGGTAACAATCATAGTGATCATCTTGGTCCTGTTGGAGAAAATGTTGAACTAAATGGTTCTGAAGAACCTTTAGGTATATATATAATTTTATTTTTAGGTTTTTCTTTATCTGAGCTGCTCTGATAATAATTTTAATAATTTTGGTAAAATCTTTATTTTGAAGACAATTATCATAATGATCCTACTATTAGTCCTGTAACAGGGAGGGATTTTAACCTTCGTAAAAGGGAACGAATAGACTATAATGTTGGTTCAACTAGAAAACGTCCTAAACATAAGCATGTAAGTATCACAGAAACTTGATCTTTACATTTATTTATACTTATGTTTTACATAAATATAACATTTCAAAATATATAGTCTATACAATTGGTATCACCTCCATGTTCACCTCCATGTTCACCATCACCTCCACGATCACCACCTCTTTCTGTGGATAACAGCATAATATGCTTACAATGTCCTTTACATTGTAATGTATAGATTATGTCAATCGCTGCTTGAGAATCAAACTATTTGCTAATTTTATTCATTTAAATCAAACATTATTGATAAATATTTTAATAATATAAATAATGAATATGTTTTTGTAATGAGATATGCAGCTAAAGGAGATTTTAAGGAATATTTAAAAATTAAAAAACTTTATAATATTATCTCAGCTTTAAACACACCTCATCAAGAAAAACTTATACATAGTGATTTTCACAGTGGTAATATTTTATATTTTTCATATTTATCTGAGACAATGATTGCAGATTTAGTTATTTGCATTATATAATAATAATAATATAATAATATAACATACAATACAAATAAATTCGAATATTCACACATAAAATTTGAAAAAATAAATCAAAATTTGGTTAAAGCTTAGTATCCCATGGAATCAAAGACCCTTAGACCTGTTTATGGACCATCCAATAAAGAAATACTTCCAAGTGTATTGCTCGCTTAGTGATGTTAATCATTTGACTATAGATTCGAATATTCTATATGAATATTCGGTACATATTGAATTAGGAATGATCATCATAACCTTTATGAATTTTATGAAATGTTATTACAGAACGGAATTATAAAATTTTGTTTGACACATCCAATTGCAAGTATAAGTAGAAATAAATGTCCAAATAATACATTATTATGAATATTTACAGGTTTTTGATCACTTAGATATGTCTTTTTTAGTAAATCATTTATTTTGAAAACATAAGGTGCAATTTTTACACCTGGTTCTTTCTTCAAAATACTTCTGATAGTACTATAATTCTTGGGTTCCATGGTAGACCTAATATAAATTAGCTTCATATTGTTATTTTTATATAGAGGTAATTCTATATACCACTTAATATTAAGAAAAAACAATATAACAAATGGGGGATTTTAATAATCACATTACTAAATTTTGATCCCTGAAATCTTTGGTAATACCAATGTTCACTTTGTCTGGTTTTGTTGCAGCATGCCCCATATAATCTCCATTATTCTACAGCACAAATATTCATTATTTATAGTGCAGGAAATTCAGCAACTATACTAACTGGATTAAAAAAAAACTTGAATATTATATAATAATAATAATAATAAATTATAAAACCATCACACACCACTGTCATTATCATCATCACTACCAACAACACCTGCACTACCGCTTACAACCTTCAACAACAACACCATCATCATTATTGTCATTATTTTTCATATTATGAGATTGTACCTGGGCTAATCAAGTGCCAGGTATGAAATGACTCCAAAGATTTTATTTGGATTCTCATTTTTATCTATTAATTGTTGACATAATCCTAAATCTCCTATTTCGCAATAAAAAATCTTGATTGCAAGTCATGATGAATATAATTCTTTTCATGAATGTACCTTAATTTAATAAAACATATAAAAGTTAGTTTTATAAAAAAAAATTTAAAATTTACCTTCTGCAATAATATAATAAAGTGAATCAAGTTTATGTCCTTTGATAAATCCCGATGTAAATCCCCAATTGAGGCATAATCTAATAACAACACAGAATTATTCTCCTTTGGATTTCTAGTAATTTTGTAAGAAACCCTTTTTCCTTATGTCAAAATATTATATAATGGTTTTAATTATTAATAAAAATACAAGTTATACAAGTTATTCTTTATTAATTGCGGAAAGCTTATCTTTTTATACAAAAATGCATAATAGTATTACAATTAAATAAATAAAAATAATATCTTAGAACTTCCCGGAAAGCCGCAGCACTTAATTTGTAACTCATATAC